GGGGGGGGGGGGGGGGGGGGGGGGGGGGGGGGGGGGGGGGGGGGGGGTGTGTGTGATAGACTTGACTACCAGGTTGCAGGTAGCGTTTTCCAAATAAAAATCTGCATTTCGAATTTGCTGATGAAAGTTTCAAGGTTCTCAGCAAATCAAAATATTACAGAATGAAAGATGCAGTGAATCCCAGTCACATCCGATACTGTTAGACATTAATGGGCTTGAAGGTCAGACGATGACTGGGAAAAAGCCTGTGTTTAATTCTGCAAAAGCTTTATTGGTCAATTTTTTTATTCATAAAAAGGGAAATGCATTACATTTTCATGATCTACAATGACAGAAGTACCAAAGTATATAAAAATGTACTTATACAGAGAATGTTATACATTTATTGAGATTAAACAATAAGTTTATGAAATTTAAAAAAGGTTTAGCAGAAAAAGTGGTGAAAGTTTTCTGTTTCAGTGTGAAAGGCCTGTGTTTGATAATTATTTATGACAGTAGACAAAATTGTATTTCCTATGGTTTGATGAAAAAATGTAACACATATATCATTTTACATTTTGTAACATGATATATAATTTGTGTTAGAAAATGTAGAATCTTAGTAAGGAAATGAATAGTGTTGGAGTCTGTTGAATTGTGTACAAATTTAACAACAGAAAACAGATAAGATGCCCAAAATACTGGTACTTGTAAACCCTTATGCAATTACCAGTAGAGAACAGGTAAGCCTGTTGTGCCTGTTGTGGTTTTATTATTTTATTTCATATATATATATGTATATATACATACACACAATGCTGTTTATACCTTGAATGTGTATTGTTAAATATAAGATTGGAGCATGCAAGACATTTCAAAAACCAATGCTGGGTCAAGAAATAGAATAGGCATTTAAAAAAACATATATGAGATTAGGAAAAGATCCAACTCCATCGCTTTGGCTGACGTCAGTTCTCATGCATGAGCTTGCCTGCAATAACCACGGGGATTGGTTGATGAAAGGCCAACGTGTGTTGGTGAAAATGTTCGCGCAATATCCCATAGACACACATACAGTGGAAACCGCTTTTAGAATCATGCTTTTCTGGTTATAGTGATCAACTGTTTATATGGATCAAAAAGCTTGGGACAGAATCATTCCTCTACAAATACTGTTTAAATAGTTCGCTTGTAGTAATCGCTTATAATTCGCTTATAGTAATCGCTAATAGTAATTTTTGGTCTTTTTAAACATGACAAAATATGGAAACAATTAAACCTACGGTATTTTTTTGTTACTTTAATTTGATCGCCCTACTTTGACTTGCGGTAACCCGTCTGCTTTTGGCTAGCTACCCGAGGCTAATGCAGCATGCTTGGAAAACATGACAGGAAAAAGAAAGGCATTTTCTCTCAATAACAAATATAGACTGATCAAAGCTTAGGATAAACTGCCAAAACCGAGCCACCGAGATGCAGCAGCGAAACTACCATAAGGGATATTTCATGTACAGTACTGTATTATAGCGAATTTTAATTATACACAGTTCAGTGATTTGAAAAGTGTCTGAAATAGCTGTACTGTATTTTGAATGAGTAAATAAAATTCAGTACATTTGGTGACGCTGTCCGTTTTATTACCTTATATTCTTGTAATAAATATACAAATGTAAATTAGATGGTAATCTGCCTGATACAAAGAAAAAGGAAAAATCGGTTATAGTGATCACTATAATCGGTTTCCACTGTATATGATTAGGTTGTTTCGGTTTGTTGGAGATGTTATTCCATCCCTGACAAGCTCCACAACAATCATTATTTCCTCCCGACTGAGGCAGTGTCCTTTAAGTAACTCAGTATTCGTTTAATGTTTCCAAGATATTGCGACACGGATTGACAGCAGCCATTTTGTGACTATTTGTAAATTGGTTTAAGTGACTTAGGAGTCCTCTCAGCTAATTTTTAGTTCTTCCCGACTCAGGTGCTACTTTTAGCCTTAAGATACTCTGTGAATACGGGCCCTGAATACAAAATGAGTTTGTTTTCTTTTGTCTTTGTTCTCCTCCAAGTCACATTATGTGTAACTAAAAATGTAGCTATCACTGGTCCACGGATTATGTCAAATACATTTTCAACGCTAAGTAAGATACATTGTGTATTTGTTGTGTCATACACTGCATACTTATGTTTGATAAATGTCCTCACAGTATGAAAAG